ACATACGTTGAATTTTCTCCATTACGTCCATGGGCTGAAAAAAAAAACTAAAGAATGTGGGCAACCACACTGGCTGCTAGCTTAATCATAAAAAATAAAACAACTTTACTTAAGTATTTGCATTTCTTATATTATTGCATTTGGCCTGCAGCCCTCAGATTGATTTTAATTTTGGCCCTCTCAGGGAAAATGTTTGGGCACCCCTGGTTTGAAGTAAACAACCGCACCCAACCACAAATTCTAACATATAATAATGTATCTAAAATTCTGTTCATCAGTCATAAAATTTCCTTCAGGCGCACCTAAAATCTTTGGCCCATCCAGAGTACAACTGTATCTTGGAGATCAAAATAAAATAAAAACTGAGCCTCAACAACACCTAGATTTTAGGACTCAAAACTAAGATATAAAATGGCTTCTTCAGCATCATCTCCCTGTCCAAAGAGAGCAACAATGAAAAAAGCATAAATGGAAGCTCAGAAACTGCCAGTTTCTTGAATCATATTGAATTTGTTTTTAAGTTTTCAAGTTATAAAGTTTAGAATTGTCTAACACTAATTATGAGACAGCCACAATGACAAAACTGAAACACCAGTGACACACACACAAACACACAAACAAAAGTACCAAGCTAGCTACGTGAAGAGCAATGATGTTGACCCCAAGAACACAGCATCTCTGTCTCTGTCAGAGGGACTTGGGGCCTTTTGGTAAGCTGTGTGTGTGACTATCGGTATGAGTGTGTGTGGGCTAGGGCCCTAAAAGTGAGGAAGGATGAACTGTGTGGGAGAGCCATCCATTCACAGCTGACAAGGTCAGAGCTACTAAGGGAAAGGTACCCCTGCCATATGCAGAAAAAGAGAGAGTGTGTATTTTAAAGATATATATAGGGATAGATGGACAGACACATGAGTATAAGAACTATAAGCATCTTTACAGAACTCCAGCTGTCACATCTTGAATTTAATCAAATTATAAGCAAGTCTCATTCATCTCTATGTGGCTCTGTGATGTGTATAGAGCCTGCTTGAGGTAGGTACTAGTGAACCCTGTGACCCAAAAGGAAGAAGCAGGTAAAGGTGTCAGATGGATGGGAATGAGTGTGTGATAACAAGACTAAGAAAATCATGGGCAGTACTTAGTAACTTAGATGATGACAATGCTGGCTGAGAAAGCATGAGAGAACGACAGAAAAAGTGAGAGGAGTGGTGGTGCTGAATCAACAGTGACCAGTGTGCTTTGTCTTCATTATGAACCCAGAGGGGAGTCACAGAGATTTGTAGACGCCCCCCCCACACACACACACACACACCTGTGCCCAGGGAAGCACTAAAATACTTCCACTCAGCACAACAGAAGAGCCATGAGGACACGCACTTACTCATGAGTGTACACATTCAACTTAACTTCACACAGTCTACTTTTGTTGACAAAATGAAACCAGGAAGACTTTCTTCCCCCTCCCTCACTGCAGCTGCAGTCTCTGGAGGACCTCTGTAATACTTATTGCTCATCTCGAGTCATTTGATTCCCAGAACATTTGACTTTCAGGTGCATAAGAGGGCATATGGGAAAAAAGTGGAATATTTATAATATCAAAGTGCCACCTTAAAATCATTTTAGAGAACAATATGTATTAACCAAAGGAAAGTCTCTTTTTTTGTTGACCCACCCCAAAATGAACAAACAAACAAACAAATAAATAAATAAACAAACAAACAGAGTTGTAAAGTAACTAAGTGCAAATACTTTGTTACTCTTCTTAATGGCACAGTGTGTAGGATTTTGTCAATTCTTTTAGCCGAAATTGAGATAATCATTAATGACAATAATAAAAACATGTCTAATCATTGCAGACAAAGACCTTGTTTTATTATTTTTACCTTATAAAAAGCTGTTTATATCTCCATGGTCGTGGGTCGCCACTACAGGC